ACAAGAGAAAGTACCATTTCGAAAAGTGGTAAAAAACATCGAAAAAAAAAAAGATGCTCGAATTCTCAATCACAAATTGCATGCGGAAGGGGATTTGATGAAGTGAGGGAGTGAATTCTCGGTAAGGGAATGAAAAACTCGGAAAATCAAATATTTTAGGTTTAAGGGCATACGTGATGGGGCGCCTGCTCACTTTCTCCGGGAAAATTAATTGTTTGGACTTTTGGGCACGCTCTCTGAGCTGACCATTTTCTTTGTACCTGAATCCTGGAAAAGGAGCTGATGCCGATGCATCACCTGCAAACTTACTGCCTAATTCGCCCTTTTCTGAAACAGTAACTGAGTCTGATACTTTGAGGATATCCTCTAAGCTAACGGATTTCTCTACTTTTATTTTGAAAATGGAACGGCAAACAGGGATAGTCAAAAACTCCCTCCCAAATCTGTCCATCTCAAAACGACACTGCAGTTTGGAGGCATTTTGGGACTACCTCCAAAGTGAGCTGAAGACTTTTTTTGGTTCGAATGCCTAAGGGATGAAAACAGTGCATGACCTGAAACTTAACGCCCTTTTCACGCACAGTTTGGATTTTTACGCCCATTTTTCTTGAAAAAAGCTTCAATCTTGTTCAGGCCACTGGGTAAGTTCGGCACAGTGAAGTCCGAAAAGTCAGTTGCAATCCAGAATTTACAAATTTGTTTTTTACCAAAAAGAAAAATTCAAATTTGACACGAAAAAAAAAATGAAAGCACGTGGATGATAACTGTATGAACAAACAAGCAAGCAAAAGGAAGGAAGAAAAGAGGCAAACTGAACAGGTGCCCTATATTTCTGCTGTTGTAAAGCACAAGGAAGAAACACACGTCTTGGCAATGTTCGATACAGATTTCAAGGAGGAGGAGGACGAGGAGGAAAAGCAGTTCCATCTCAGCAATCACTTTGAGTTTCCTTCATACCAGTAATCCGTAAATAAACGGATGCAGAGAACAGACTGCACGAAAAGTGAAAGCACATTATGTA